TCCTCACTCCACTCCTCACCTAAATTCCCCATCCTTCCTGGCGATCGCATGGCCACTTGTTGTATAGAACCGCTCCGCCCGGCGCCCCAGCGGGCGTTGCCGAATCCTCGGAGTCGCGGGGGACGTATTATCCGTGCGTTGGCATTGCAACAAATTGTCAATGAGGATGTAAGTAAAAGAGGCTGCTCCACCTCAACGTTGAGATGACTTCGTCGGTCCACTCACTCGTGCTCCCCCACTACCAACCAAATCCGGCGGTTCCGTAGTTCCTTTACATATTATGTATGTCAAACACAGAATTTCTTTCTTTCTTCGGGAGCCCGCGCGCGATTCTTATGTCGGATCGTTTGAGAAACAAACAATTTGGAGGAGATTTCTGCATCAATTGATGCGATAGCCTGAGTGACACAAGTTATTCAGTCGATCACCTTCATGAAGTTCAGATTCGCCCCGATCAATTTACTACCCAATTCAGCTTTTTTTCTATTATCTTCATCCATCCCGCCGTATCAATGTTCCAACAAGCGTTATCTGGAACTTGGTCAATTTCATTTCCAACAATTCAACATGCCGGTATTCGGCATGTTGTTAATCACGCCGTTCGCTGTCGGCATATCGGCTCATGTATTGATCTCGCATTTTGGTAGCCTGCAGGGCCGTGGTGGAAGGAGAATTGTCAGAGCTTCGTTCCCTGATCTAGGAGACTCGCGTGTTTGGAGACACCGTCGAATCAGAACAGCAAGAATTCGAAGGGCGTCGTACTTCTCTCTATGTTCAATATGTAGACTCGCGATATCGATATCATTCACGCACGAGCTCACTCATGTGCGTTCGGATTGATTTCAGCATTAATTTGCGTCCCTTCCGGTGCCATGCGTGTCAGGTCTCATTTTAATTTTTTTCATTTGTTTTTTTCCTTCGACGATTACTTCGGTAAATATCTTCTTTGGCAGACTCTGCCATGCCATCACCGCCACACGGGCTTTGTACCCGAGACAAGATTCTGGGAAGGCGTTAAACCAATTTGATTCCAATTAAAGCAGAGATGCTGTGCGCCCAGCCTGAGGCCAGCTGCGACGTCCCGGGTCCCGAACAATAATCTAACCACTAGTCAATTTAACCACTAGTCTAGGATTCAACTGGGAAGATCAGGATTGATTTGCGGTACAGGAATAGGTTGCGAGGGGGGGCGCGCGGGATTTCCGAACGATTGACGATTGAGAGGCACGGAGGTGAGGGTATGACATGTTCGTCCTCGCTGTCAAGAGAACTTGAAAGAGGAAAAATACCGCACCATCCCATCACTGACATTATACATATCTCAGCACAGGCAGGCTCGGAATGTACCTACCTCGGAGGGATTTATCGTTGCGTTGACAGGTTAATTAATGATTGGTACTAACATAGCTTTTTTTGAAGAGACTCGGCCATGACGGCGACTTCGCTGACTTCCATTCGTGCTGCCAGACGCACTGTGTGGCAGGACCCAACACTGGCAGCGACGATCTATGAGGTGCCTAGTAGGAACCGAGTCTGCGCCAGGAACGTCGTCATTAAGTTGACTGAGCGCGAGAGTAGTCCCCGTTCGAGAACACCGCTTATGGCGGAGAACTTTGGTATGTCTTCCGTGTTGATTATCTGTATTCTGACTTTGGTTGGTGAAAGTGCTTCTTACTCATTTTAAACCTAATCATAGCCTCGATGGCGATCCTCGAGATATGATTAAAATATCCTAGTGCACCGACACTGCGGCGCTGGCAGAACGTGTGTATTCCCAAGGAATCCCGTTTGTCTTTCCCTCGCATCGGGCGGGATTGTTCCTCGCTTGAGAAAATAAGTATGTTCGGGAGCGATGCTGTGGTGATTGTGCGCATTATGGAAGTTGAAGCAGTAGGGTCATTCACACCTTGCCTTTTTGGTTCCCTTTTTGCGTCCTTTTTGCTTTCCTTTTTGCCTTCCTTTTTGCTCATTTTGCATTTTGGTCAAAAAAGCTCGGTAGAACTTCTTTCTTTTTGTAACCTTTACCTCTTTACACCTCTGAATAGGAAAGTCAACATGTACTTGGCAAGAAATGAAAGGAATGTGAAAAAGGAAGAAAGTCGGGTGGAAAAATGGAGGTAAAAGGGGAGTTCCGAGCGGGGCGTTCACACATTCCTTTTTGCAGCCCATTTTTTGCTCCCATTTTTCTACCATTTTAGCCAAAACTGTACAGTTGGACCCATCTTTTTTCATAGATCTTCCCTCTTTAACCATCAGATTGGAAAAGGCAAAAAAAACCGGGCAAAAAACGAAGAGAATACCAAAAACAGCAAAAAAGGGAGTGAAAAAGGGAGCGAAAAAGGAGAGGAAAAAGGAATGTGTGAACGACCCTAGTAATTCTCATCACGCTGAGTGGACGCGATTGGCTAGCCAATACGAGGCTAGGACCAATGAGATACCGGCATTCGAGGTTGCGAATAAAGACCAATGAGAAAATGAACACAATCAAATGGTGCATTTATTTCAATTATAAGACAATTTATTCAGGCAGACTCGTGAAGGTTGCATAAAGGCATGAATAGTATTGTTGACTTGAACATAGTAGTCTACAGATATATCTGACAAGGAGACGGCGGAACGCGCTGTGATTCAGCATGTACGGTTAGCCTGATCTCGAGCTTTAGAGCGGCCTTGAGACCCAGAACAGCTTCATTGTTTTGGGTGGATTAAGGGGTATTAGCTAGGCGCTTAGATTATGACATGGCAGCGCCTCGACCAGCAACATGCCAGTGCTCAAGTTTTACGAAAATTCAACATGCCGCATTGCCGAGATGCCCGATCAATCTAAACTTGTGCAAAGGTTGAAATATTCGCGATTGACATGATGATGAGCCACATCTCAAGGTACCATTTGGCCCGTCCAGAAATTACCAGACTATGCATAGACGGGGTATATTACAGTCCAGAAATTAAAACCAGAATATTGATCGGCGACTCGGTGGCCCATCACAGCACCTGCCACTGGCAGTGGATGAAAACATGCATTCGTATCGAGTACTACAGTGGGACGAAATTCAGTATGCACTTCAGCATTATAAAATCACTTGGGATAGTCTCGATTTTAAGCCGGCCGAATTCAAAGTCGCCCTTCTGCCTTTATCCATCCCTACTTCAAAATCACTGGCAAACGGGTTACGGCCGCCGCCCGAAGCGTCAGAAAAAACTCCCGTCTTTACAGAGGCACTGGAAACATGAGTCAAGCCTCAACTTATTGTTGCCCCTGGAAATGACCCCGTACCACGGACAATTCTGCTGTAAATCCATTCACCCGCCGTTCGTTCCTCTTGAGCCCACATGGCGCCGTCGAATAATCCGCCCGTTGAGCGCGACGATGAGCGCATTCATGACGCGCTTGCTGAGTTGATATGTGAAAGCCGACTCGCAAAATCAATCTGTCGGTGCGACGTAGGACAGGAAATGCCTGATAGAAAGAAAAGAAGCAGAAGAAGTCGGTCGTGTACTTATATCGGTCGCGGCTCGGGGATTCATCTATTCGGGCTGCATGATGTCCTCGCATCAGGATGCAGTTGGACACTATTTAAACATCTCAGTAACAATTTTATCTGTCTGTCGGAAGTGCCATTTTCTTTCGTCTCCAGAATCATTTTGAAAAAGCCGTGGTGTCAATCGCTTGCTACACGAACCAAACACGAACGAGAAAACAATTCGCAAATTCAACACGAATCTGCATCCGGTTATCTCGACGCATAGATAGTTTGAACGCCGGTCCTGAACCACAATTGGTGGATTTTAGCCCACCGTGAGACGCCTCAGGAACCAAAGGCACCAACATCCGTGTAATGTGGTTGTGGAAACCACCTCTCGGGCCGAGGGAAAATTCCGAATTCTAGTGTATGTTCAGCGCACATGGCCGCCGACGGTGAAGGGTTACTCGGTTCTAGTGACGAAGAGCGAGTTCAGTGCCAGCTAGCACTGGGACTAGTATACAAAGTAATCATTTAGAGATATTAGGATTAACAACTACCCGAATAGATTCGCGCTGGCAGTATCGACAATATGAATTAATATTCTCTTATCGCGTTGCAGCTCGTTATTAGAGTCGTGCTAGTACCTATCCTGTTGAACAACGTTCTGATAGATCAAGGCGTAGTTCAAGAAGTTGCGGCGTTCCGCGACTAGATCAAATTCCTCGGATTGGGTGCTCAGTGCAGAGAATTGATACATGATACCGGTAATTCGACACATCAAAGAAATCTCAGAATCATTCTACTTCATCCGTGAATAGATAGCCATAGCCTTGAAGTTCGATAGAGGAGATCAACAAGCCGTTGAAGCCGTCGTCCGGCTCAACTGATGTGATCGATGATTTTTGTGATAAATCATTACGGCTGCACGGCAAGTTGAAAATGCTTAAGCTTGAAATTGAAGGTTGCTTCTGTGTGCGAGGGTCAATGCTCAAACGATGGTAAGACCTGGTTGTGCATAGGTGTACGCTCTCGACTGGTTCTGCCTTTTCTTAGTCTAAAAAACAATTTGCGAGATTTCTGGTTCGATTCCAGGCTGGGTCATACAGCTTGAAGGTCAGCCATTTTTTTTACATCAGATTTCTAATTATGTGGGTGAATGAGAGCTGGCTTGACTAACTCATGATTGCTTGAAATGAAAGATGGGTGTGTCCCCCAATCTTATAGGCATTTTCGGCACGAAATTCTGGTTCAGTTCCGGACTACTGTATGCCATGTCGCGGTGCTTTGGAAATCATTATCAATTGACTTTGACATCTGAGAGCTTCTGGTTCAATTCCAGGCTGGGTCATACGTCGTGAAGGGTGCTGGTTCTTTTTCTTCTTCTGTTTTTTTGGGGTGGAGTGGTTGATTTATGTAACAAAAGAAACTGTCTTTACAACTGCTCATTGCTTGAATTCCAAAATCCATTGCTTCATCTCGTTATACTATCAGACTTAGACTGTAACACTTCTGCATTGGTATTGGCATTGGCAAGACCTGGTGGTACATGGCTGTACGCTTTCGACATTGTAGGTAATAGGGCTCCCGGATCCCCCTCGACGAAATGCCCCTGGTTCGATTCCAGGCTGGGTCATTAACAATTAGATGCGTGGAACATTTTTTGCCCTGAATTATTGGATCCAGCTCAACGCTCTATTTCTTGAAGATGAGGGGACTTACTCATAACAGCGAGTTCAACAGGAAGTGGTCTTTTGTTACCGAATTCATTCCTTCATACCATATACATTGGCAAGAGTGACAAGACCTGGTGGTACATGGTTGTACACTCTCTACACTGTTCTGGTGAAGTGCAACATATTCAGAGTAGTCAAATCCTGGTTCGATCCCATGCCAGGTCCTACGAGCAATCTAATAATAGAAACCGTTCTTTTTTCCAGCGGCTTATTGGTTGAAGTCCAAAATCCATTGGGTCTTATCATCACATTGGCATTGGCAAGACCTGGTGGTACATGGCTGTACGCTCTCAGCACTGTCGTAAATAATTCTACCAGCACAAATTCAGAAGAGTCAATTCCTGGTTCGATTCCAGGCCGGGTCCTGCGCGAAAAACATACTTACTAGCTGCTCTTTTTTTCAGGTCCTTTTTGCCTGAATTCCAATATTCATTGCTTTATATAATTGTACACATCTTTAATATTGGGAAGACCTGGTGGTACGTGGTTGTACGCTCTCGACCACATTGTAAAATGAATATGTGTCACCGTAGATTCAGAGAGTGCCTGGTTCGATTCCGGGCTAGGTCATGGCCATTCCGTTCAAAGGCTTCTTTTGCTTGGACTCTGGAGTGAATCAAACCCATCCCTTCATTTATTTATTTTTTGAAAATGGATGTACAGTATATTTGAATTGCTCTCAAGCCAGTCAACTAGGTGGGGCCCGCTTGGGATGGTCCGAAAATTTTGATTCTGGGGCAGGTCATGGTTATAAGTCTTGCTTTCTTTTGCATCTCCTTTCGCGATTATCTTCGGAGGAATCTCTTCCAAGTATTGTCTAAGTACCTCTTTCAAATTTTTCAACCCGTTTTCAACCATCTCTTCCACGCATCGCAACACATAATCACCATCTCGTCACCGACGGCGCAATGTAAGTTACACGAGCCACCGACGCGTCGTTCCGCCTGTCAACGTCGAACAACGTTTGAAGTTTCTGTATGTAAAACAATCTGAACCCGAAATGAAATCGGGCTACGCACCGAGGAGCTGTCAAATGCACAATGAAAAACTGATGGAATCAAGGATAGCTGATTGGGATTGCTGGGATTCCTGTCAAAATCTTCGTCACTTTCCCCCTCATCTCACACTCCAACAGCCAAACTGCTTCTCGTTCCGCGTTGTGAATCGCCGCCGCGATAACGATAGAAGATAGGATGAAGTTGAAGTTGGAGCCCCCCTTGCATGGTTTTTATTTGCCGGAGACAGACGAAACTTTCTTTGGATACAAGCAAGATACGGTATGGCTGGCTGGCAGGGATAGGATGGATGGACAGCGGCGATTGGAAGATGGATAGACAGACACAGCAGACGTGCTGCATACACTCTGTTGTTGTTGGCCGGCTTTCCCCTTGATGGCCTCACAAGAAAAACTGGGACGTGGATAGGACAGGCACGCGCGGATGCCGGAAGAAGGGCGGCGCGAAGAAGGAAGGAAGCGAATTGGCCATAAAGTACCTCAAATATTCTTAGCCGTCTGGCTTTTCAGGACCCCATTCAAACTCGACTCTTCTCCTCGTCTCTCTGGCCTTCCTTTCGTCACCGCCGTCGACGACGATAACCTTTCCTCGACGCCACTGAGAACACGACGACTCGAATGGCGCGCCCCGCTCCCCTCTCCTTCGGCAACAGCACGCCTTTCGAGCCCGACAACGCCACGCACCACTCAGCCGACTCCGACTTCCTCGACGAAGGGCACACCGCATCCTCTTCTGACTCCCCCATCGTCCACCCCAACGCCAGCAGCTCCCCGCCCATCACCCCGCGCTCCCTCAGCTTCCTCACCCCCCACCCGCCTCTTCCCCTCCCCGCCGCAGCAGCAACGAACCCGTTCTCCCCGCCCGCGTCCGTGCGCTCGTTCAGCGCAGCGTCCTTCGGCGGCGGCGGCGCGGACACGCCTTACGCGCACGCGCACAGTGGGGGTGGGGGTGCGGGCGGCTACCCGTTCCCGAATCTGTCCCCGGGGAGCACACGCGCGAGCTCGCTTGTCGATGTGCCGCGGGCGTTCTCTGGCGGCAGCCGCCCCAACACCGGCGTTGAGGGCTCCCCGTTCGCCAACCCCCCCGGTTCCCTGCCCCTCCCCACTTCTTCAAGCAACGGGGGAGGCACCCCCAAAAGAGAAGCATTCGCCTCCCCGCCCTCGCGCCCCCTCACGCTCTACACCCACGCGTCCTCCACGCCGGGGTCTCCCGTCAACGCCTCGTTCCTCCATCCCACCCACCCCAACAACTCTCACAATGGTAATGGGTTGACGGCGACAGGGATGCTGCGCCGCAAGAGCACCGCGATCCTCGTGCCCTCCCGAAGCGTTCCTGACCCCGACGCTGAGTTGGATAAGAAGGATAAGAAGAGCAAGCACCCGAACCGCCCGACGCTGTTGGTCGAGCTGGATAAGGCGTGGTTGTCTTGCTCTTCCTCCAACTCCTCCGCCTCCAACTTGAATGAGAAGAGCTCCGGAAACGCGAGAGCCAAAGCGAAAGGAGGGAAAGACAAATCCGCATGGCTCGCCTACCTCATCACCTACGGGACGATCCTAATCGGCCTCGTGGCGGGGGGATTCCGCGCGTGGTCGGGGTGGAGGGGGGTTAATCTCTTGACGGTTAATCTCTTTCCTTTCTTCCATTTTCTCTGCTTTTTTCTTTTCCCATGTTTCTCCGGCTTTCTTTTCTCCTTTCGCGTTTTTTCTCTTTTGCTGTTTTTTGTTATCAAAAGAAGTTCACCCCGTTCTCGTAGGCCCCCCTCTGCCCCGTCCTCCTCGAAGACTTCACCACCACCACCACCGCGCAGCTCTTCGGCAGCGGCGTCGCGGGCGAGGGAGGGACGTTCTTTCGCGAGGTCGATGCGAGTGGGTTTGGGTGAGTCTCTTCTCTTCGCTCCATCTCATCCCCAATTCCTCCTTTTTCCTTTTTTTATTTTGGTTTTTATTAACTTTTATCTCTTTTAGAAACGGCGAATTCGAAATGACCACCGCGTCGGACACGAACTCCTTCGTGCACAACGGCCAGCTGTACATCCTCCCTACGTTGACGAGCGATGTGATTCCGATGGGGAGTATTCTTGGTGGGTGTTGTCCTCCCCTCTTTTTTTTTTTTGAAAATTTCCCTTGATTATTTAATCGAGCTCGCTGACGCTCGCACAGACAACTCAATCTACAACCTCACCGGCTGCACCTACAACATCACGCACTCCACGGGGTACACCACCAGCGGGCACGGCGCCGCGGGTATCAACACCACCGAGGGCGAGGCGGGGGGTGCGGGCGGGGGGATTGGTGCGTCTCTTCGTCAAAAGTTCAAAGAATAACAAAAACTCATTTTTCGTTACTTTTTTTTTACCGCGTCTAGCCCCCGACGCCCCGCTCGACCTCCCCGCGTACCTGGCGGCGTGCTCGGCGGTGTCGAACGCGACGGAGGGGAAGATATTGCCGCCTGTGATGAGTGCGAGGGTGAGTACGAGGAAGAGTGCGAGTTTGAGGTGGGTGGAGTCGTTTCTTCGTTTCTTCGTTGTGTCCCCCATCTTCCCAACTCGCTCTTGTCTCCCCCATCCACCCCGTCCCCCTTCCCTCACCCTCTCGCTCTCCCTCTAGAGTACGCATGCACGCCATCTCACTAACCCCTCTCCCCCACAGATTCGGCCGCGTCGAAGTCGTCGCGAAGCTCCCCACGGGCGACTGGCTCTGGCCCGCCATCTGGATGCTCCCCGTCGGCAACGTCTACGGCGGGTGGCCCCTCAGCGGCGAGATCGACATAATGGAGGCGCGCGGGAATGGGCCGAGTTATCCGAAGCAGTGAGTGCGGGTCTTCTCTCTACTTTAAATCAAAAAATCGTTAATTTATCGCTTTGCGCTCGCTAACACTCGCTCCCGCAGAGGCGTCAACTACGTGCGGTCGTCGCTCAACTGGGGCCCCGCGACGTTCCTGAACGCGGTGGCGAAGACGTATGGGTGGTGGACGCAGAGGAGGGGGCGGTACGATGAGGGGTTCCATACGTATGCGTTGGAGTGGAGCGAGGGGTTCATGTGCGTCTCTCTTCTCTTGTCCCCTGCTTGATCTCTATGTCACTAACACGCTCCCCCCAGGCGGATGTACGTCGACTCGCGCCTGACACACATGTACGAGATCAAGCTCAGCAAGTCCTTCTGGGACTTTGGCGACTTCCCGCCCGTGGTGCAGAACGGGACCGAGAGCGTCGTGTTGCAGAATCCGTGGGTGAATGGGACCAAGGCAGCGCCGTTTGATCAGCGTGAGTCTCCCTCCTCTCCTCCTTTCTTTCGCGTGCTCATCATAAGATGAGCAGCCTTCTACCTGATCATGAACGTCGCAGTGGGCGGGACGAACGGGTGGTTCCCTGATGGGCCGGAGAAGCCTTGGCTTGATGGGTCCGCGAGTGAGTGTCCCTTCCGTTCTCTCTCTCCTCCACTTGTATGTGTTGCACCAACTGACTGACCTCTATAGCCGCCCCGCTCGACTTCCTTCGCGCGCAGAGCCAGTGGTACTCCACCTGGCCGCAAGACCCGTTCAAGCGTGCGATGGTTATGTGCGTCTGCTTCTTCCTCCTCCCCCTCCCTTTCTCCCGCGCTGACGGTGTTTGTTTGTGTACAGCGACTCGGTGAAAATGTGGGAGCAGTGCTCAGGCTGAACTGCTACTGTTCCCTCGAAACGATGCATTGGCTAAATGACATGAAAAGAAAACGACAAAACCCTTCCCCCTGATATTGTACACTTCTCGCGTCCGCCTAGTAGTTATCGACGTGACATGCGTATCCCTCCCTCCTCCACTCCTTGGTCTTGGTCTCGGCTCTGGTCCCACTCTTCCTTCGTGTACATACATGATTTTCCGCTCCCTCGCACATCCCGCAATCCGC